ACCCATGATCACTTGATTTGCATCTAGCGTCCTTCCCCACCAAGTTCCTGCTGTAGAAAGATCCTCTCACATGTCTTCTGTCTTGGCTAACCTGCTAATATTCCCATTCTCACCAACTACGTACCCTGTGCTGCCTTTCTTCCCTGACCACTTTGTTACCATCATCCCACTTTCTGTTTCTTGCTTCTGGCTTTGGTGTTTTTTCTTCCGGTTGTGTATTTTAATCCATCCTTCCCCACATGCCCCTTGATACTAAGCTACATCCTTGCCACCCCCTCCTCCTCATATCTAAACCTTCAGCTTTCTGTCCCTTTCATCCCTCCTGTCTGTTCTGCACTTTGGTAAATTCCAAGCCATCAGCTACATCCACCGTGGCCAGCCACGGCCACGGTCCTTTAGCCCCCTGCTCTCAGAAGCTGAGAGCAGGAACTGCACTGCAGAAGTGGTTCCACGGAGCTGGAGCGTGGATGATGCACTGGGAAGGTATAAAGGTAGCTATCAAATCAAAAATCTTGACTGAAAGTTATAAGACTTACAATTTGGTGAATACTTTAAAAGCTTCAAAAATGCATGAATTGGGGAAAAAGTCCACATTCTTGAAAAACTACTTAATTTTTAAATTCCCATTAAAATTCAGTGCAAAATAGACCACTGGCACGCAAACTCTTGGTTGAATCTACAATGGTAAAAAGGGTTTTACAATGGAAAATATCAGTTAATCTATATTCATAAACACTCATAGAACAGAATATACAAATTAAACATAAAGGAACAAAATTCCCAAATGAGCTTAAAAAATATTTTATGCCAGCAACATCAACACTAGGGTCTTGACATCTGCAGTTCGGTACTCTGTTACAGCTATACTTTTTAAAATAATTTTTTCCTTGATCATTCTAAGTCATTGCTGCTTCTTTACTTAATACCTATTTATGCCATTCTTGCACTGCCATACCCCAGAACTGACTATTTATTTAATTACACAAAATAATGTCACTGAACCACTATTATAAAAATCCAGGAATAGGTAAATAACATGCAAAAACTTACAGTCTAAGAGCATAGTTTCAGAATTTCAGATTTTCTAAAAAAACAAAAAAAACACCAGCAAAACTCAAAACAAACCAAAAAACCCAACTATACATGGAACACTGCCTCCACTGGTAAAAGTCACTAAAAATAACTAGTAAAATAAGACAAAGTTAAGACATTATTGAGAGGAAAAAGCAACTTTTCTAAGGAACAAATAATTGATTTACAGGCTTAAACCACTTTTAAACACTTTTAAAACAATCTTTTAAATTTAAAAACATGATAAGCCCCTATGAAAATACACATATATTGGACCATCATTTTTGTACATTACTGATGTATTTCTAAAACATACAAAAATGTTTTTCAAATTAAAGCTTACTATTAAAAATGCATTTGCAGTTATAACGCATGCTTTAGTTAAGATCAATGAAGTGAAACAAATATATATTTATAAAACCTTTTTTCCTGAGGGAATAATTCAAAAGTTGTATCCTGCCAGCAATGAAAAATTTTTCCTAATAACGTGCTGCTGCTTGATTACTTCACTCTTGGATACAGACGGATATAATCATAAATCTACTTTACAAGACACGAATGTGTTGAGTTTTTTTCCATGAGAAGTCTTTTGCATTCTTGGATCAAATTTCAAGACAGGGAGCAAAAATAAAGTGCTGTTGTTTTTATATCCGCAACACACTTGCCTTCAAAAAAAAGGGAAAGAAAAATTCACACCACCAAAAAAAACATTTTCTCTTAAATACTTCGTCTTCAGCAGCACGACCCATACCAAAAGCTAATGTTGGGGTACTGTGATTTTGAGTGAGATCCTGCAAAGCTAAGAAGTACTGGAAATGACAGCCTTGTCTCTCTTGCAAAGCCAAAACAAGCACAAAACATGAGAAAGTCATTATCCTGTATGACCAGTCATGCTGATTTCCGAAGAGTCTTGAATATCTGAGATAAAATACCCCAAGATGTTTCCCCAAACCCATCCAGACTGTATTCGGAGACTACTGATATTCGGCAAAGAATGCGTTTCTGGTGTTTTGCTCAAATCCAGATGCACTAGATTTGCAGCAGATACTTAAGACAAGAAGCAGACAGTCTAATGATGAAGTCAGTCAGCCCATCTTAGGCACTTAATTGAGCCTAACATGTAGTTGCTAATTAATAAAGCAGTTCTATCCCGTAACTAGGAAACTTAGACAATCATTTTCAGAGGCTACATCTGAACTTACAGCGGTGTGAATTGGCTTTCTACATAGTCAGACTAGATCTCTCTAACTAACACATGCAACAGCCATTTATGTATTTACCTTTGTTAATTTTTAAAGTCAAATATAGCCCGCATTAAACAG